TGTGAGGGCTACTTCACACATAGTCAAAAGCAAACCGATCTGACTGCTGCAAGAAAAATGGAAGAAAGTTCGAGCATGGATATGAAGAATGCTTCAACAGGCATGAAACATGCATAAAATATTTTGAGTCTTCTTCATGCATGCATATTCCAAGGTAGACATTATCAAATGGCGGCGGCGGGGGGGGACCTTATCAAGAGTCCTGAACAGTCCATAAAGAATTCATAGTCTCATGTACAATTTCATAGTTGTCGAGATACATGTGCAACCATTGAATTATATTCCACCAGACAGAGGTGGTAAGGAGCATAAACTATTTTTGCAGTTCTCTTTTGGAATGAGAAGTCACAGAGAGCTCTAGATATTTAGAGTAATGCACCATGTTAGAAACTCATCTTTTTTGTTACTGCTTTCCACACAGCTGTCTTGAAATCACTGTTCCGGATAGTGTAGATGAAAGGGTTTAACATGGGTATAAAGCTTGTGCGCACAAGTGATACAGCTTTATTGAGTCGGGTGTCACCATGGGTTGAAGGCTTCAAGTACATAAGCATATCTGCTGTATAGAAGATGGTTACAACAGTGAGGTGGGAGGCACAGGTGACAAAGGCTTTGGACCGCCCAGAGGCAGAAGGGATCTGAACTATGGTGCTTATAATGCGCATATATGAAATCAATGAAAACCCAAAGGAACCCCACATTATAGTGGCACCATAAAGGAACCCTATTAGCTCAATCACCCTTGTATCTGCACAAGCCAACTGTAAAACTGGACCAACGTCACAAAAGAAATGATCAATGATATTGCGCTCACAATATGGGTATGTCCACACAACTATTGACTGAGGAAATATTATTCCAATCCCACCCAACCAAGCCAGCAAAGACAGATTGAGACAGAGTCCACTAGTCATAATGGTCTGATAATGTAAAGGTTTGCAGATGGCCATGTAGCGGTCAAAAGACATGATTGTGAGAGTGATGAACTCCACAGCTCCCATGGTGAAGACCACGAAACCTTGGGCCATGCAGCATGCAAAGCAGATGGTTTTTTTTCCAGAGAAGCTATTGACCAGCATCTTTGGTATCTCTGCTGCTGTGGAACAAATCTCAGCCATGGAGAAGTTGAGGAGGAAGAAGTACATAGGAGTATGGAGCCTGGGTTCCATGGAAACAACTGTGATTATTAAGGAATGTCCCATAAGTGACAGAAGATACATCAGGAGCAGGAGAATATAAAATCCCACATCCAATTCATGATATTCAGAAAATCCCAGAAGAATAAATTCATTGAAAAGTGTAGCATTTGACATCGTCTTCTTCTTTTCTAAAATGGTACAATAATTTATGGAAACATTATTATTTGTGGTGTAAAGAAGAACCAAGATATACAGTGGGATTTGAGCAAACTTTAATTTGCATAAGTTTCCAAGGAATAGCTGAAGTGAATTACTGTTCAGGGTTTCTGAACTGCTTAATCTTTTTTCCTCACACAACTGTTCATTAATCAGTGGATTTGGAAATGCCACCACCACTCTGAATGAATCTGGGGTTATTAATTTGGAACGTGAAGGGGTACAAGACATTGATTTTTTTCCTGTAAAATGTGACTG